ACAACAGAGGTTAGACTGAACAGCAGAGTTCAGACTGAAGCAGTGCCAGAACAAGTGTGCAAACCCTGGGAAGGAAGCACGGCAACACCAGTGCAAACCTCCCTACAACATACTAGCCAGCATAACCGCGCATTGTACCCTACTTTCTTATTCTTTTAAAAGCTAGAAGAGTGATAATCAGCATCTGTCTGGAAATTTAGAAAAGGCACAAGTTAAGCTGAAGGAAAAAGAGTACATTTGTTTATTTAGTAGTCTAAGCAATCTTAATAAACGTATGCTCAAATAATCAGCTCCTGTGTAATTACTCATTTGCAAGCACAGTTATTAGGTAGGTAAATTCACTCTTTTTTGAAAATACAGGTCAAATATTTATCTCTGATATATATTAAATGCAACACAAGATTGGACTAAGGGCATATATTAGACCACAACATTTACAAAATCGAAATGTTTAGACCTCTCAGACCTTTTTTAAAGCCTTGACCTTGGAAACAAATAAGGACAGTGTTATTTTAATGTGCATTCAAATTTTAACAACACAGTCACACAGCTCTAGTGGAATCCACATTGAGTTTCCACTGTAGATTGCTCATCATTTCATTATGGTTCATTATGCTGATAACTGTCAGAAAGCATTAGAAGCAGGAGCCTTGAGTAATAGCACTGAAATGGTAATTTAAAAACAATATACTTTCTGGAGGAAATACAGCAGTGCACTAAATTCAATTAGAAGAGGCGAATGTAAAGACAAGTAAGTGATGTTTGCTGTTTGAAGTCAGGCTCTTCAGTTTCTTGATAACCTAAACTTGGAGGAAGCCCTTTTAAAGCAGGCACTTTTCTCTTGTATCTCACTAAATTTGCTCTCATTGTCTCTAAGGTTCCCTGGTATAAACTGTCTTAAATGTAACTGTTTTAGAAATATTTCAGGCCATGCCAAAATATCAATCAATCAGTCACTGTTTGGGTGGCACAACAGACTAAATTATTCAGGGTCATTTACTGAGACAGATTTCAAGCTGGACAGTCTATGCTGGTAATCTCTCTTTTGTAAAGGGCTCCCAATTAAAAATCATTAATAATCTGAATCGAACAGACAATATAAACAATACAAATCTGTCCTGTTGTCACTCATAATGTGATCATTGTTTGTTAAGAAACAGTTAGAGAATTTGACTCATTAACGGTGGGGACACAGGACCAACACCCATTAATTTGGGTGGGAACTGCACCTGCCTGCACCAGGCTGCAATTCACAGACTATCTCCTTACAGGGAAGGAAACTCAGGGATGAGGACCATAATTGAGACTGATTGTTTACCAGCCTCGTGGATTTGTGTGTTGCTAAGACAATTTATTCTCCATTAGATTGCTAACCTCATGAAAGACCCATTCTCTCAGCAAATATGGAAATATAATGAAGGTCTAAATAGTTGCCTTAACATTATATTTGTGATGTTTCCAAAAGAAAAAGGCGACTGTGTTTTCCATAGGTTTTGCTCGACTATATTACAGGTCAATTACACCATCCCCATGCCCAAGCACACACAGCTGACAAGCCCACTCTGCTTCAGCGTTGAAAGTCTAAATTCCTTTGTCAGGTCAAAGTGGCAGATCCAGGAAGACTCTGCTCCTCAGTGGTGACAGACATGTTGATGATTATCCTCATGAGGCAAGCTCAAGGGAAAAGATGCATCAGTAAACATGGGTATGTCAGGGTGTCTATGCCTGGCCTTCAGACATACCCCACTGTAGGCTCCTGTGCTCACATCCTACCACATTCTGCTCTTACCTGTACAAGCTTAAAGCCAGATGTAACTAATCACTCTAGCAAAGCTAAAATAGAGCAGAATACTAAAGCCAGAGTCTGAGTTATTTGTTCAGATTGGATGCCTGGCTTACCTGAAGGTTAAGCACAGTTTGTACAACTCAACAAGGAATGGACATGTCAGAGACTGGTATTACGGAACAAGAAGTCTCTGGAGCACATCTCCAGACCAGTGCATCAGGAAACAGGTGTTGCTTTTATTATTTACCATGGGAATTGCAAAAAAGGAAAAGGAAAAGGAAGGAGAATTCTCCAATTCCCTTTCAATCCGCTAGCACAATCAGGCTAATAGAAAGTCAGAACAGTCTTCCCCCCCCCAACCTAGAAGGAGAAGTAAGTGACGAGAACAGCCAGTTCTAAAGGAACTGTAAAGGAAATCAATAGCCAAGGGTCAAAGCTTTACAAAAACACATCCTAAGAAGGCTGAAGTTCTTAATCTTAAAAAATGTTTAGAAATAATGAAGAAAGGATCAATCCACAGTCCATTCCAGGTGCCCTCTCCAAATTACCGAATGTTACATTTATTCACCTGGTCTAATAGTTCTCCAAGTGAACAGAAACCTGATTTTACAAGCCAGTGGAGCAGAGTCTATCTTTTTGCTAGAAGAACGGATCTCAGATACTGTGTTTTATTTCTTCATTAGTGCGCCGTCACACTGAGCGATTACTAAATGCAGGCCTGAATGAGAATACCAGGGTTAAACAGAGCATAATGAACAAAGAAGGTGCCTTATTATTATGGCTGTCAGCACAAGGGAATTGGGTTTGTCACCTGGTTTAACCAACTGGTAAGAACTGATTAGAGTCTGAATCTGTCTGAAAGAACCTTTGATGTTTATGCTCCCTTCTGTCTCCACATCTTGTCAGGAAAGGCAGACAAACAAGAGGCTTCTTCCGGAGGGGCTTCCTTCAGCAGAGCCCTCTAGATGGTTCCTGTCACTTGTCTCAAGTGCACGGGTTACTCAGTGGCAGGAGCGTGGGGAGCAAATGGCTCCCCCAAAGCCCCTTGCACAACACAGAGGTGCACCACACGTGCAGGGCTGCATGCTGAGCCTGCACAGGTACCACCATCACCGCGATGTCCAAACACTGCTGGGGCACACCTCAAGGAGGGGATATTAGCAAGCACGGCAGTGAGTGAGGGAGCAAAGCTGCCCCACAAGCCAACTCACAAATATCCTCTGTGTCTTCCTTCATACTGGATCACAGAAAAAGAAGCCCTTAAGCTACAGGAAAATTGAAAGCTCTGAAGTGGGACCTCCAGAGACAGGCAACCTTTTCCCCAGGAACAGGTGTCTATGGGATTGTGTTGTTGGCTTGCTGCTGCATGCCAAGTTCTCCTGGACTGCTGTAGAGCTGAAGACCGAGACGAGCACCATGCCCCCTGCCTTCTCTTCTTCCCTCTTCGTATTTTCAGGGTAAAAGACTAAGATCAGGGACTTCAACTTTGACTGACCTCTCAAGACAGGAATGGGGATGGGTGCCAGAAGCAGGCCCAAGACTTGACAAATAAGGGCCAAGCTTGCAGGGGTACATTTTGCAATACAAGCACATATATCATTTGCTAACAATTTCCCCATCTGGAAGTGTTTTGCTGTCTCCTCGTGCTTCACTCACTGCACATGTCTATTTAAATTCAACCAGTTGATTACTGATTTGATTTCAATTTGGTCAGGATATCACTCACTAGGATCAGGGCTTTACGAGAAACTTTTGCTGGTATAATGTTATTTAGGGCGTACCTTCCAAACAATAGTTTTATTGTTGCAAGAAGACCTTTCTCCTATCAAAATGGTCAAGCTTTAGATCTCCTCGTGTAAACTATATTATAAAAAGCATCTTCATACCAACTTCAGCAAGGTTAGACCTTCATCCCCAGTCAATTTTTGGCAAGGGATAGATGGACCTCTCTGCTTTCCTACTAAGCAAAAGCAGCTGATCCTGGCTGTACCCAGACCTGCTTAACCACTATCCAGAAAAACTCCCAGCCAAAAAGGAGATCACTGAAGAAGAGCTGGAGTTAAGGGGGTGTGGGGAAGGGATGAGTGCTGGCTTAGTTATGGACATACTTTGTTTCTGCCTTGTAAGGGAGAAATTAAGATTTAAATAAATGTGAGTCATCTCTCCAAAACAAATTTGGAATATATTAAAATGTTACAAAAGAAATATCTCAGTCTTGTCTCACTCAGAGACACACACAATCTCTGCATAAATACACAGCTGAACTCCAAAAATCTGGAAGTATTTCCAATAGCTTTCAGGAAAAGCCACAAATGGATATCCCATAGTAAAATACAACCCTTTCACTTACTGTTTCAAACTGCCCTGCTCCTATAGAAGTGAAAACTGAAGAACTAGATGATCACGATTTAACACCAGGGCATGACTGGAATCTCAGGTCTTTGGCTGAGTGAGCCATTAGCCAACACATAGGACAAGGAGTTGTTCCAGCAACCCCATGAGAGTGCTCAGTGCACTACACTGCTTGTTCTCCCTGCTGGAGGCATTTTGGTAGAACTAAAGCAAATTCCATTTGCTGTACATGCTATATTTATCTATAAAGGATAAAATAAACCATACTTTCAGTGCTTGTTTCATTAAGGTTTAAGATTTATTAACACCACCCCTTCCATTTTTATGTTCCTAATGGTCACTAGCCATATTTTGAGCAAATTAGATATATAATGTGATTATAAATATTACCCATTTACCCTCAGTCATAAAATTATGGGAAAAACTTCCGTAATTTCTACACATACCAATATTTAAAGAGATGAAAGGTGATGTGATCACTGGACAGGCCCTCGAGCTGGAACATCAACCTGTGTTTTATTTCCAATTCTGTTACTGAGGCAGGTCACTCCTCTTTTGCAGCTTTGCCTCCTCCCAGTCTCCTGATTTATTTAGACTGTAAATCGCTCTCAAGGGTCAGTGCAGCCATGTCACTGCTGGGAATTCAGGGCTGAGAACTGATGCTTTCTCTGCCAGAAGTGTGAGCCAAAATGCTAACCACACCTGCAATGGGCTGTAAGAGCTACTGAATGCTGCTCTCAGAAGCAGGACACTTCCTAGAGATGCATGTCTCTGGGCAACATTTCCTACATACACAGTGAAAGAAGAACAGGAGAAGAAAGGGATAATAAAAGGGGAAGAGATTGTTCAAAGACCAACTTACGAGTGCAGGGCATGGAGGCAGCATCATTTTCAGCTCGGAAAAAGCCCCGGTCGCAGGTGCAGGAGGTAGAGCCTTCCCAGATGGAGTAGCTGTGAGGCGGGCATTTGGCACAAGCAACATCTGTCGAGAGAGCCTTGTAGTATCCGATTTTGCAAGCTAGACAGAGGAACAGGAAGGGAGAGTGTTACTTGCCCAGGCTGTGATCATAAATTGCTAGCTTACTTATTCAAAATCAAGGCAGGAGACATTTCAAAGAGATCTAATGATGTCCTCTTAGCCCCAGGTGAAGAATTAACTATGATCACGCTCTTAATGAGTAATCCTATGTCAGGGGATACTGATTTCTAATTCCAACAAGAGCCATTTTAAAAGCTGGCTTGGAGATGGTAAAAAAAAAATTATACTCTTCTATTTGCACTGCCAGAAAATCAGCTGCCTCTTTGTGCTTGCTGTAGAGTTGCATGCTGTTTAACCCATGTCCACCTGCATCCAGGCACACACACAGAGCACGACAAAAGGGGTGCAATTGGTTTATTCTATGACCACTTAAGGAATGGCAGCTGACAGTCAGACACTGCCAATTTTTAAGATGGAGTGGGACAGGAACCCACTGGGATTGGCAGTGAGGCCCAAGCCTAACATGCCCGGAAATGGCACATCTCCCTCCTGGCAAGGCAGAATTCATTTGGCTCTTAATCCCCAAGGGAGGAAATCAGGAGTGTTCTCCCTGCTTTGAAGCCAGGGCATAGCAGTAAGTGCACCACTGCCACCAGGTCTCACATGCAACTGGCAAGCTTTCAGTGACAAAATCTTCATAAATGCAATGCTTACACAAATGGCCACTTTCACATTGCTTGGAAAAAACTCATTAGCATCATTAATAACACATTTTCATAGTGGCTAACAGGTATGTCATCCTAGAAATTTCTCCTTGGCTAGAGATAAAAGCCCACCATCAGCACTGGCTTTCAGCATTATGGAGAACAGAGAAAATACCCAGGCATGCAAATACGTAGAAAGGAAAGGTTGTTCCCAGGATGTACTGCATGACTCCCTCTCACATCTTATCATCTATCACCTACGCTTCCTTTGGGGTTCCTCTGCTACGCACAGGCTCCAGTACATGGGGTGCAGGCTTCCGCGCAGCTGAAGCTCACTCCTGTTTTACCCTTCCCTTAGCCCTCCTTGTACTTTCCCTCCTTTTCTTATTAAGCCCTGAATGGGAAATGGAGGGGGATTTTAGCAATGCATGTATAAAACAGCAAGTTACTTCACTCTTATTAACTAAAGCCATTTATGGAATTTACTTAACGAGTCCTAACTTTACAACGTGCCGTGCGCCATCTGTAAGAGCACCGGGAGATCAGTCTGCTTTTGCTCTCCATGGCTGCTGCTGGACCAGAGGATCATATAAAAGCACACTGCTCAAGTGACTAAGATTTATGCTTCCAGAATTTACATGCGTCGCATTATTAGATAAGGTTCAACCTGCAAGGTGCTTTTTGGCCATACTTCAAATGGCCTCAGGGTTTCAGTTAAAACCAGAAACCACAGCTTTGGTAGGAAGAATCATGGGGGTCAAACCCAGCCTCCCCACATCAGAGACAATTAGTGCCTGAACACAAATACAAACCCACTGGGTACAGCCAGGCAGTTGCAGTACACAAAGGCAGCTTGTGTAAAACACCTTCTGCTTGTGATGGGAATTGGCCAGAAAAAAAAATTAAAAAGAAAAGGAAAATTACCTTTGATTTTTTTATATGCTTTGCAGCATCTGGTGAGTGAGCTGTATTATCGCTATGTGTCCTCTTGTGCCTGGTTTAATAACAGCAGCAGTCAAGTGCCAGATACTGATCTGAGATATTATTCCTGGTTTTCACTGGCACAGCTCAGATCGGAAGTATACCTAAGCCTGTATATGACGAGGGCAGTCATATCTTGCTGCCATATATATATACAAGGCATGGAAAAACAGAATACAAGAGGAGACACCAGGCTGACTACTGTTATCCTCCTAATTATTTCTCTTCTTCGAGGCTTTTAAAACAAAACTCTAACATTACTGATAATACAAACATCATAGTTCAGAGAAATTACTAAATGAAGGGTTGTCTTTAGCCCTCTTAGTATTAAAATACTTAGATGATAAATACATGGAGATCCTGCTCAGCCTGTAACATGTTGTTGGAAAGGTAGGAAAATGTCAGAGGTAAAGATTTTTGCAACCATTCCTGGTTTTCACTGTCTTTTCAGACTTGGTGGTTTAAAGGGAATAGATGGATTCAGTGGGTACTGCAAGGTCAACAGTCTGTAATTCAAGGATTTTCTTCTTCTCCATGCACTGTATTTTGTTTTCTACTATATTAAGCAAAGATCATTAATATTTCAAGACGTGAAGAAAGCTCTCCAAATGCAGTGGCTGCTCCTAAAGCAAACACAGCCATTTTCCTTCAAAACCTACCTACTCCTGGACACTTAGTTTTCTTCATTTTAGCATGGTCAGAGATTCACCGCATTTCAGCACAATGCATAAAAGAACATTAGAGAGTAGTGCTTTGCCCTTAAGAGCTCCATGATACTGTCACTTAAAAACTTGAATTTAATCCTGTAAAAGCTGTTCTTAGCATGAAGTGCTGCTGACACACCTATTACAACCAGTGCCTGCTAAGGCTATGGATGGGCTTTTTGGGAAGTTAATGATTTAGTAGGCAAACAAGAAGCCTGTATAGAACCTGTTCCCTGAAAGTCTTTATTGCTTGCTCATGACAAATCTTCATGCGGCTGCTTTTCTAGGAAGGATATGCCGGGTGAGATCCAGCATGAATGGAGTTCTTACCCAGTTTTCGAAAGATACCATTGTAAAAAGATTAGTTCACATGTGCAATGCAAACTTTGAATTCGGTTCCTTAGCTTTGCCTTAATTAGTTCTTTCTGTTAGGTTTTGGGGTTTTTTTCTAAAGAGAGAAAAAACTTTTCTTGCATTCAGATCACCCACAAGCAGAACAATCATCTGCATTAGATCCAAGGACAATTCTCAAACAAATAATTTCAGCATGAAATAGCTCACAGTTTTTCCTTAGGACAAATCACATTGATTTTAAATGGGCATCAGCTTGAAGTAATTATGCTGAGTCCTAATGTTAAAATCTATTTGATTTCTATTTCTTTTAAAGTGAGACAGGATTTGGCAAACATTGATGGTTATTATATATATCTTTTTAAATTTATTTCTTAATTTACCAGAGTGATTAAATGTTAAAACTGCAAAAATTGCCCTGAAGATTCTTGGGACTTCAGTCAAATCTGAATGTAAGTTTTCTGAAGCTATATTTCAAACTCCCATTTTCCATTAAAACCTGATTTTCAGGCTCATGGCTTTCTCATAAAAAAAAAAAAAAAAAAAAAAAAAACAACACAAAAACCAAACCCAAACCCCAAAACTGGATTCTTTCTAGTCACAGCTACAACAAAATAGATGTATTAAATTGTTTTTAACTATTCAGGGTCGGGTGTTTAAAAACATGACTCTTGCAAATTTAATGTTGTTAAAAAAAATCCCCCAGTCCTTGCTCTTAAATCGTTCCTTTGTCCTTGCTGAAATGGCAATGAATCTTTTTGTCATAGTTTGGAAAAGGCTTGACATGCTTAATAGTTCTTAAAAAAAAAAAAGTGTAATGTCTTGCAAAGGCATCGACAAAGAAACCATCCCAATCTCTTTGTTGACATGTTCCCAAATCAATAAATATGCAGTGCATATCTCAAGAAAATCCCAGCGAGCTTCAAGCAGAGGCTTTGGTAGTGCCATGGAGGCAGTGCTCAGTGCTTCACCAATGAGAAGGCTAAGTGGGACTCTGAACCAGGGAGGGAAGAGACCCTGGAGCCAGGTAGGGCTGACTGAGCTCTGAGCAGAAGATGGGATAGGGAAGGTCCAAGCAAGCCAGTCCTGAGCTAATGGCCACTGAGCAGGAGCTCCTGCAGCAGCCCGGACAACCACAGATGAAGGCCAGAAATTTCTACCTGCTGCCTCAGCCCCTGCTGAAGACAAAAACTCACAACCAATACTGATATCCATATTAGGAGCTACTAAAGAGAATGCAGTGAATAAACAAGCACAGAAATATGGTTTTGCTCAAGTAAATCTATTTAAGTCAATGAACTTGTCATAAAATGGTTTAGGTTGGAAAGGACCTTAAAGATCATCTAGTTCCAATCCACCTGCCATGGGCAGGGACACCTTGCAGTAGACCAGGATGCTCAAAACGCCATCCAACCTGGCCTTGAACACTGCCAGGGATGGGGCAGCTTCTCTGGACAACCTGTGCCAGTGTCTCATCGCCCTCACAGTGAAGAATTTCTTCCTCATATCTAATCTAAATCTACTCTTCCACTAAAAAGCATTTCCCTTTGTCCTATCCCTACATGCCCTTGTAAAAAGTCCCTCTCCAGATCTCTTTTAGGTCCCATTACGTTTTGAAAGACTGTTATAAGGTCTCCCTGGAGCCTTCTCCTCTCCAGGCCAAACAAGCCCAGCCCAGCTCTCTCAGCCTGCCTTCATAGCAGAGGTGCTCCAGCCCTCTGATCATCCTCATGGCCTCCTCTGGACTCGCTCCAAGTTCATGTCCCTCCTGTGTTGGGGGCCCCAGAGCTGGGCATAGTACTGCAGGTGGGGTCTCATGAGAGAAAAGAATCGCCTCACTCAACCTGCTGGTCACAGTAACTTACACTAGAACAAAATTTGACACAGATGTTCTGAAGTGCTTATTTGCAGCAGTAGCAAAAAAGATAGTGGGATGACAGCCCTGTACAGGGGAAAGTATGGAACAGGCACAGGGATGTTGGACTGCAGAGCCATCACCCTACAGATCCCTGTGCTAAAGGCTGTGATCTCAAAATGAGTTCTGCAAGGAAAGAGCCTTCAACCAGGAGAGGATCAGCAACCAAACACAAACCACACTCCTGCCGCACCTCTCCTTCCGAAGAGGGACCACGTGCACCACTGAGAACATTTATTATCTCAGGCAAGTGAATACTATAGCTAAAAATCTGTGGAGTTAGCTGAAATTGCAGAAACTATGCATTTAATAGTTTCCATATTTTGAAGCAGAAAAACATACCAGCTATGTACTCATGCAAATTTCAAAATTCCTGGAGATACA